AGGAGTGAATGGAGACAAATGGTTTTTAATACTTGACGTGCTGTTGGAGTGTGAGCAAAGTAACATTTATGAAGGGATTCAGGGAAACCGGCAGGCCGAACTTGAGTCCTGGAGATGGGAAGTACAGTGCCTGCACTCTGAAGGAGGGGTGTTAACCCTTTGACTGTCGAAGGGCCAAATCCTGAAGTTGCTTCTGGTGTCGCAAAATTTTCGAAAAAAAAAAAATTATTTTTTCTTATGAAATGATAGAGAATCTTTTCCCGATTGTAAAGACACCAAAAAAACGAAATTTGATGGAAAACTGACGGAATTACGCTCTCGCGAAGTTAGCGACTTCGGCGATATTTAAAAATCGGCAATTTCGCCCACTTTGAGCCCTATTTTCGGCTAATTCCCTTATTCCAGTCAACCAAACTCATAACTATTTCTTCAGAACTCTATTTTTTCTATCGATTGAGTACAAGAAACTGCCCATTTACCGATTTCAACTACCCAATAACATGGTCAGAAATTTGCAATTTGGCCAATTTCACGAAAATTAAAAAATACGACAATTTCAAAATAAGGTCCAGAATGAACAATGCAGACATTCCTGGCTCTAAAATAACATTTTCTTTGTTCATCAGTCATGTCTCCAGGTCCCTGTGATATTACTCTTGCTTTTTATTTTGAAATTTTATTCAAACAAAAAATAGAAGATTTACTGTTATGCAGACTACTGCAATACTGTAATAATTGTAAAAATTACATCAACCCATTCATGACTGCGTATTAGAATGGCTATTTGGACATTTATTGGACAATGACATCATTTGTATACTTTTGAACATCGGCAAAAATCAAACATTTCCTGTACTTTGTGCTCCATTTCCAGGTTCTTTTTATAGTAAAATTAATCAAAATCACCTCCATTTCTATAATATAGTTTCCATTCTACCAAATGAGACCAAGAAAACGAGAATACAACCACAAATACTATACGAAAATAGACCACAAAGTCGGCATTTTAATTAAAAAAAACGGTCGGAGTTTTTTTTTTCTCATTATGCACTGCGTGCTCCAGGATTTTTTTTATGTGGTGCACACTGACCACACAGACCCATTCTCTCACATGTGGGCCTACTAGCTTTCTCCTGCCTGATTTGAAGCCGCTAGAATTTATGAGTATATATACGTCAAACACTGTACCTCGCAAACGTATATATACGGCCGCGACAGTCAAAGGGTTAATGTTGCAGTTTAAAAACTGTGGTGTAAAGCACCCTTCTGGCAAGACAGTGATGGAGTGAATGATGGTGAAAGTTTTTCTTTTTTGGGCCACCCTGCCTTGGTGGGAATTGGCCAGTGTGCTAATAAAAAAATAAATAATACGAGTGTGTGTGATGAATGACTGACTGAATGACTGCATTATATCGCAAAAAATTTGCCTCGGTATTCGATATGATTCGTACGAGACATGTGCACGTGTGGCCTGAACTGCCCCATGTGTGCCCGTGTTTACAAGCCAGCCAGTGTGCGCGCATCTAAGGATACATTCGGTACATTCCATATTATCCATATTATCACTGTGTTTGGTGCTTGTTTCTGAAAAATAAGTCACCATGGGCCCCAAGAAGCTTCTAGTGGCAACCCTTCAAGAAAAAAGGCGCTAATGACTTATGAAATGAAGAAAGAGATAATTGCAAAGTACGAAAGTGGAGTGCGTGTGTCGGAGCTGGTCAGGTTGTATAATAAACCCCAATCAACCATCTCTATTATAGTGACCATGAAAACGGCAATCAAGGAAGCTGTTCTTGCAAAAGGTGCAACTGTGATTACAAAACAGCGACTGCAAGTGTTAGAAAATGTTGAGAGACTGTTATTGGTGTGGATAAATGAAAAACAGATAGCAGGAGATAGCATCTCTCAAGCGATCATTTGTGAAGTCTAGGCAGTTGCATGACGATTTAGTAAAGAAATTGCCTGCAACTAGTGGTGATGTGAGTGAATTTAAGGCCAGAAAACGTTGGTTTGAAAGATTTAAGAATCATAGTGGCATACATCGTGTGATTAGGCATGGTGAGGCTGCCAGTTCGGACTAAAAACCAGCTGAAAAATATGTGAAGGAATTCAAGGATTACATAGACAGTGAAGACTTGAAACCTGAACAAGTGTTTAATTGCGACGAAACAGGCCTGTTTTGGAAGAAAATGCAAAGCAGGACCTACATTACTCAGGAGGAAAAGGCACTCCCAGGACATAAGCCTATGAAAGACAGGCTTATTCTTCTCATGTGTGCCAATGCTAGTGGTGATTGCAAAGTGAAGCCTTTATTGGTGTATCACTCTGAAACTCCCAGTGTGTTCAGGAAAAACAATGTCCTCAAGGCTAATTTGTGTGTGCTGTGGAGGGCAAACAGTAAGGCATGGGTCACTAGGGACTTTTTCTATGACTGGTTACACCAAGCATTTGCCCCCACTGTGAAAAATTACCTAATTGAAAAGAAATTAGACCTTAAGTGCCTCCTGGTATTAGACAATGCCCCTGGTCATCCTACAGACTTGGCAGAGCGACTTTCTGGGGACATAAGCTTCATTAAGGTCAAGTTTTTGCCTCCTAATACCACTCCTCTCCTGCAGCCCATGGACCAGCAGGTCATTTCCAACTTCAAGAAACTGTACACAAAAGCTATGTTTTAAAAGTGCTTTATAGTGACCACAGAAACTCAACTGACTCTAAAAGAGTTTTGGAAGGATCACTTTAATATCCTCAATTGTATAAACCTTGTAAGTACGGCTTGGGAGGGAGTGACTAAGAGGACCTTGAACTCTACTAGGAAAAAACTGTGGCCAGAATGTGTAGACAAAAGGGATTTTGAAGGATTTGAGGCTAACCCTGAGAATCCTATGCCAGTTGAGGAATCCATTGTGGCACTGGGGAAGTCCTTGGGGTTGGAGGTTAGTGGGGAGGATGTGGAAGAGTTGGTGGAGGAGGACAATGAAGAACTAACCACTGATGAGCTGATAGATCATCTTCAACAGCAAGAGGCCACACTTGAGGAAACTGCTTCGGAGGAGGGGATAGAGAAATTTAAGAAGTTGCCTACTTCAAAGATTAAGGAAATGTGTGCAATGTGGCTTAAAGTCCAAACCTTTTTTGATGACAATCACCCTAACACAGCTATTGCAAGCCATGCTGGTGACTATTACACTGACAATGTTGTGATACACTTTAGGAATGTCATAAAGGAACGGGAGGTACAGGCCACTATGGACAGATATGTTGTGCGATAGAAATCCAGTGGCTCTCAAGCTGGTCCTAGTGGCATTAAAAGAAGAAGGGAAGTAACCCCGGAAAAGGACTTGCTACCTCAAGTCCTAATGGAAGGGGATTCCCCTTCTAAACACTAACACCTCTCCCCTCCCATCAATCACCAGATCTTCATTAAAGGTAAGTGTCAATTATTTTATTGTTGTAATTATTCTATTGCATTAAACTTAATATTTCATGTAGTAAAATTTTTTTTTTTCATACTTTTGGGTGTCTTGCACGGATTAATTTGATTTCCATTATTTCTTATGAGGAAAATTGATTCGCTTTTCGATATTTTCGGTATTCGATGAGCTCTCAGGAACGGATTAATATTGAATACCAGGGGTCCACTGTATGTACTAGTACAATAAAAACTTACTTTTTCATCCCTTTATGCAACTGGTCACAGGATATGCAAAAGTGCATGCTAGTCAGTCAGTTTGGCCCCCCCCCCCCCCTCCCACCCATTATCTTTTTACTTAACATGGCTGTAGTCTCCAGACTAGGTAAACCAATAAGGTCCATACATTATTATTTTGAAATTTATCAAAAGCACTAAACTCATGAGTCATTCAGTGCAAGTGGTGGAGCCTTGCTTCTCTGTACTTCATGTGGTCAAGGTGAGCAAACAAGAGTGAGGGCAATTAGTGCTAAGACCAAGGGGAAAGGTGTTGACTACAGGGCAGCTGTCGATGGAGTGAGAGAGGCAAGTACTCAAAACGTCTCAGTACAAGGCCACCTACCGAGGCCTACAAGAAACAGGCCTAGGCGGAGATTTTGAAATTACAGGTAGGAACCTGGTTACATCTTCACCTGCTAATTGTGAGATGAGCAAACTACTCTAAGCTCTTCAATAAACATGACCGTCTCCAATTCCCCATTCTAATAGAAGGATCATACAGTGCCTGGAGAATGGGAGGCAATCAGGTCTGAGGGAATGTAGGTACATTAAATAACTTCAATCAAGAGCTCTTCACTAGTATCTATGCATCAACCTCAGGTCTTTCTGAAATTTTAACATTTTTTTTTTTTATTTTCCCCACTTCCTCCATTTTTTTTTCTTTTACAATTGAGGATGCTCTCATCAAATACTGGGTAATTAAAAAAAAAAAAAAAAAACACTCTTGAAAGATTACTTTTCAGTTTGCATTTGTGTTCGCAATATCAAAGAATCGTTGTTACAACTCTACCAAACTTCGATAGTAGTCCAGTCAGACATTTGCTAGCATCTCTTATCACATGGTGCTGCATGACTCAGGTTTGGTGCATCTTTGTGAATAAACTAATACTATTTGCTCACTGCAAATGTATAGTATTTGGTCATAATTTTTCTACTGCTCTTTACCTTATTTTAAGGTTGTGTTTTAATGTTCAGTATTGCCAAGTATTTTTGTAGGCTTAATGAAAACAGTGTACTGTACAATAAACAAGTTAATTGCTTCAGAATTTTTTATTAAAACAAATAAAAAATTTAGAGTCTACCATGAGCTAATAATAGTAATACTAAGTGCTTAAGGCATAGGCTTAGTCAAAGTGCAAGATGCAGTGCAAACCAAGATGCTCGCATGTGTAGCAATCAAAAGTGCTGCAAGGACATGCCATCAAAATTTATTCCAATAAAATCTGAACTTTGTTTGAAGTTGTGAAAAATGTATGCCACACAAATTTACGTGCAATAAGAAATAATGTAGGATAAACAAAATAATTCATTACATCCTATACTTTTTTGTTTAATGAACTATCACAAATGATTTTACATTAAACTGCTTACATGTGATAATTAAAATCATTAAAACCAATATTTTTTAAATAAAAATATATATATGAATATGAACACTTTAAAACCATTATACAATACCTTTCATTTTGCTAGGCCCCTTGTGTGAAGATAAGAGCATTCTAAATTCAATTATTTAAGTTGTACATAAAAACAAATGGTTAAAATATAAAATGAAGAATAAAAGTCACATACCATGGCTGGAACATGACAAATAATCCACACTTAGGAGAAACACTTCGATTACTACCACTTCCTCCTAAGACTACTACTACTATTACTACTCCCTCCTCCCATTTCACCACTCCCTTTCCCTGCCCTCTCCTGTATATATTCTGGCCTCCTTACCCTCTCGTTTGAACTTGACTTGCTAATGATCCAAGTTAATAATTGGAATCATTAGTTTCAGTCTCCTATGTGTGGGTTATTTGTGTAAAATATAAACTGCTTTTCAACCATGGAGAAACTAGAACTCCCTAAATACAGTGCACACGCATTAGAAAATGACATTTCTCACCATAATTATAATTGCAAAAACTTTGATGTAAATTATGAAACAATGCAGGGAGCAAGCATTATATATACCACACACCCAACATTCATCACAAAATGTAGAGAGCATGCACATTATTTTCAAGGTTATGTAGTTTTAATAATGCTTAGACAGAGGCACTGTATGACCCATAGGGGTTTAGTGCTCTTATTGAATATAATAATAATGCTTAGATAATTTAATGTCTACTATTTATGGATTTATACACTAATAAGTTAAAAGATGTTACTGCATACTCTTTAAATACTGTATTGTATTTAGTTTTTAAGCTAAATAAGTGGTATGTATACTATGCTAGCTGAGCATTGAAACTGTACTACTGCTAGGAACAGCAGGTTAATTAAACATCTGGTCACATTTTAATATAAAATATTCTACATATTTAAGTAACAGAGAAATTTTGTTTCAATGGATATAAAATATCTTAAGCTTTAAGTGAACCCACCACCAGAATATAATACTGGATTTACAGTACTGAGATTTCAATCTACATTTATACAAAATCTTCCATCAGTTGATTTATACCCTTAAAGTTCTTTACTGCCAATTTAAGGTAAATGAATGGTCATATTTCTTCCAAGGTCATAAGAAATTGTCTAAGTACTCAAGCCTAAAAGTTGTGTTAGTTCTTTAAGCAATCATAAACCATCTTCACATAATATGGCACATTATACTAACCTAATTTTGTTAATTTAGGTCTTATTCTCCATTGTGAACTTCATATCGTAGTTCTGTCAGTAGGTCATTGATTTCTTCCACCACTTGTCCCAACTCATTCCTAATTTCCTTAACCTTATTTTTTTCCAATTCCCCGCTGTCAAACTCTGCTACCATTTGACGAGCCAGCTGTAGGTGGGTGGTCTGACAAAAACAAGGCAGCATATTTAAAATAAAACAGTGACATATTTCATAACAATGATAATACTGTAATAATATAATAATTGAATTAAGCACTAAACCCAAAAGGGTCATGCAGCACTGCAGGTACAGATGTGCAAAGGTGAGGAAAGAGTGATGGGGCTGGGGTTAGTGGGTGTCAGGAAGAGTGCAAGAGGAAAAGTAAAATCACAGTTGGTGCACTAAATTGCTGTTAAAAAGTCAAAGAGCCTGCATAATAGCCCTTTCAATGTCAGTCCTGTAACATTACAGCTTTGAAGCCAGTGTCAGTCCTGTAATATGTACTATGCCAAAATTCTAGCGGCTTCATATCTTGAGGGAGAAAGCTGGTAGGCCTACATGTGACAGAATGGTCAGTGTGTGCAGTATAAAAAAAAATCCTGTCACACACTGCATGAGAGAAAAAAAACTGCAACCTTGTTTTTTATTTAAAACCAACTTTGCGGAGTATTTTCATGTAGTGTTTATGGTTATATTCTCATTTTCTTGGTCTCATTTGATAGAATGAAAGATATGTTACAGAAATAGAGATGATACTAAATGGTTACCAGACTAAAAGTAGCTTGAAACTGAGCTCAAAGTAGCAGAAATATTCGATTTTTGCCGATGTTCAAGAGTAAACAAATCACAATACACGTCAACTGGCGAGTCTAATATGCATTCATGAATGCACTGATATTACTCATACAATTATTACAATTATGCAGTAGTCTGAATAACAGTAAATCTTCTATTATTTTGTGTGAATAGAAATTCAAAATGAAAAGCAAGCGTAATATGAAGGGGGCTGGAGATGTGACCAATGAACAGAGAAAAATGTTATTTTAGTGCCAGGAATGTCTGCAGTGTTTATTCTGGACCCTATTTTGAAATTGGCCTTTCTTGAATTTTGTGTGAAACTGGCCAAATTAGTAATTTCTGATCACTTTATTGTGTAGTTGAAATAGGTAAATGGGCAGTTTCTTGTACTCAGTCAATAGAATAAGAGGAATTCTAGCCAAATAGTTATGAATTTGGTCAACTGGAACAATGGAGTTGGCCTAAAATAGGGCTCAAATTGGACAAAAATCGCTGATACGTAAATATCACCGAGATCGCTAACTTTGCGAGAGCGTAATTCTGTGAGTTTTCCATAAAATTTTGTACCTTTAGTTTCATTAGTTGCGACGCTCAAAGGGATAGATGCAACAGTTAATCAATACCCTATTTCTCTTAAGTTACAAAGCCCCATGATATTACTCTATTATGTACAATTCATCATTACCAATTTTCTATTATTATGTGCTTGCTGCAATTATGACCATCTTGCTGTCATATGAAACAAATCATAAGTAGTCAAAATAATTCTAAGTCTGCATGTTGCATTCCGTAGCCCACATTCATATTTTGTTGAAAGTCATTAGTCATATTACAAAAATAACTATAATGTAATGAATATTTCCAGAAGAGTTTGGGGAGTATTCAGCTTTCATTCAAGAATAGGGACAAATTCTGCTTCAGTTAATTACAATTTTGTCAGGAACCCTTCAACAATGGGTTACTCTTGAATGGGAATGAAAATAGCAATTTATGAAATTACATGCACATTATACATACACAAGTTACTACTGCCAAATTTAATGCATAACTTCCTATTTCAATTCAGCATTTAAAATTTTTCATACATGACAGTATTGCACAAAATATACAGGCAAACAACAGGGTTGTAATGAAATAAGCAACAGCTGAAATACCATAAATCAAATTAAAGCATAAAGAATATAACTACACAAATCTGTTAAATTTTCTTGAAAAAACTATCAGGGAAATGGTTTGTCAATACATTACCAGCTCTAATTTCTTCTTCTCACTCTCCTGAACTGCAGCAATAATATCAGCAATAGTTGTGTGCCCATCAGTTCTTAGAGCCTTCTCAACAGCTATGATGCCTTCGGAAATCCGCTTGAAGTCTTGAGTAACATCGTGAACAAGTTTCCTGAAGGTGGGGAAATCATAGTTTGGTTCTGTACTTAGATAAATCTTGTGACCTCTGCAAAGGATACAAAATTTTCATTAACATTTATTTTAGAATGGTAAACATTACAACATTCCACATAATACACGACTATAATTTACAAGCAACAGTCACAAGTACAGTACTACAAATATTACTTAATATAAGAAATGCTGAAGCATATATGTGAACAGTATTTAGATAAAGGTAGGGAAGTTTTCATTGCATTTATGAATTTAGAAAAGGCATATGATAGAGTGGATAGGAGAGCAATGTGGCAGATGTTGCAAGTGTATGGAATAGGTAGTAAGTTACTAAATGCTGTAAAGAGTTTTTATGAGGATAGTGGGTCTCAGGTTAGGGTGTGTAGGAGACAAGGAGATTACTTCCTGGTAAAAGTAGGTCTTAGACAGGGATGTGTAATGTCACCATGGTTGTTTAATATACGTATTTATAGATGAGGTTGTAAAAGAAGTAAATGCTAGGGTGTTGGGGAGAGGGGTGGGATTAAATTATGGGGAATCAAATACAAAATGGGAGTTCACAGTTACTTTTTGCTGATGATACTGTGCTTTTGGGAGATTATAAACAAAAGTTACAAAGGTTAGTGGACAAGTTTGGGAGGGTGTGTAAAGGCAGAAAGTTGAAAGTGAATATAGATAAGAGGTGATGAGGGTATTAAACGATTTAGATAATAAAAATTGGATATCACATTAGAGAGAGGGAGTATGGAAGAAGTGAATGTTTTCAGATATTTGGGAGTTGACTTGTCATTGGATGATTTATGAGAGACGAGGTTAACCATAGAATTGACGAAGGAAAAAAAGGTGAATGGTGCGTTGAGGTATCTTTGGAGACAAAAAATGTTATCCCTGGAGGTAAATAAGGGAATTTATGAGAGTATAATGCTACTAACACTCTTATATGGGTGTGAAGCTTGAGCTGTAAATACTGCAGCGAGGAGGCGGCTGGAGGCAGTGGAGATGTCGTGTCTAAGGGCAATGTGTGGTGTAAATATTATGCAGAGAATTCATAGTGTGGAAATTAGGAGGAGGTGTGGGCCTACTAAAAGTATTAGAGGGCTAAAGAGGGGGTTGTTGGGCTTGGAGGATGTATAAATCTGTAGAGGAAGGAAGGCGGGGTAGGGATCGTCCTCGAAAATGTTGGAGGGAGGGGGTAAAGGAGGTTTTGTGGGCGAGGAGCTTAGATTTCCAACAAGCATGCGTGAGCATGTTAGATAGGAGTGAATAGAGACGAATGGTTTTTGGGACCTGACGAGCTGTTGGAGTGTGAGGAGGGTAATATTTTGTGAAGGGACTCAGGGAAACTGGTTAGCCAGACTCGAGTCCTGGAAATGTGAAGTATAATGCCTGCACTTCAGAGGATGGGTTTGGGATATTGGTAGTTTGGAGTGTATCTAAACTGTCGTATCTGGGTGCCTCTGCAAAGACAGTGATTACGTATGAGTGATAGTGAAAGTGTTGATTGATAATGAAAGTTTTTTCTTTCTTTTTGGGTTTTTCTTTATTTTGGGTCACCCTGCCTTGGTGGGAAATGGCCGACATATTAAAAAATAAACAAATAAAAAATAAGAGTAAAAATGATTGGTTAACCCCTAAATGGTCCAAACGTATATATATACGTTCTTGCCCAGTGCCCTGAATATTTTGAAAAATTAAAATTTTTTTTTTTTTGAAATAGAGAAAATTTTTCCGAGTGTTTTAGAATTAAAATAAAAAAAAATAGGGTTAGTACTTATCGAGATATGAGGCTGCAAAGTTGGTACTTAATGCTCACCTGACAGCAACATCGAGTCCTGCTGCTTGCAGAAGTGTTGCCGATATACCTTTTTCTCATTTTTATATTATTTTATAAAAATTTTATATTCTGATTATTACAATTTATAGTAGTTCTTGTCATTTCATAACCAATCTTCATTCTGGCACTAATGTTAGGTACTGAAACTGCACTCAAATTGTCACAAACACATTGACAGGTGGGCATTTACACCTGCCTTGGTCATTTACTATTGTCTAGGAATATAAAGTATTTATAGGTCCCAGCAATGTTTTGGATACACAGGAGTATAGAAGAAGGAAGAAGAAAGAAGTTCCCTTGAAGCATGACGTCAGTAACAAGCATCCAGGAGGGCAGTGATGAGATAAGGGATGACATTTGATGGGTGCCTGGAGGGTGCAGAGATAAGATTAGATAAAGCGTGACATTTGATGAGCTTTGGCATCTCTACATCTGCTTATCTCTGTCTCAGAGAGCCACTGTTAACCAACAGGTATTCTTATGCATTACTTCGGATTTTTTAAGTTATCCTAGGTAATTTACACTATGTATAATTGTATTTATGTGTACCAGTGAAACAGAGACAGAGACAGAGACAGAGACAGACAGACCCTAAACTTGGGGTCAACATCACTTTCCTCTTAAAAGGGGTGTGTTAATATGACATTACATCAGTGAACCCTTGCTGTTTGCCACACTGTTTGCTCTAGTTGGCGCTCAATTTAACTGGCGCTCCCACAAGGTACTAAGTGATCCCAGATTTTTTTAATATGGTGCACACCGAGTGTTAAGACCCCTTCTATGCTGACCAGGCATCTCAGGCCAATCATGCCAAATTTGGAGGCAGGAAAAATAAAACATATATACATTTGGGGCACTAGCGGTAAGAACGTATATATACGTTTGGACCGTTTAGGGGTTAAAACAATATTATGGTGTCTACAATGAACAAGGAGTAATCAATACACAATGACAGCAAACCCTTGATTTACTGAACTAATGAAAGGAGTGGGAGGGGGGGGGGATGGATGGTAATGGTGACTGTGGTGGAGACTTAACTGTTTTGCCACCATCACAGATATTAGAGCCAGCAAATAAAACCCCCCTAAATTCCATCAATATAACGACATTAGTCTACATACAGGGTCTAAAGCCGTCAACAAACAACGAAATTCATTACATCAAGGGACTGTTCATGGAGTCAAATGCAATGTTTGCAGCTTTCAAAGACTCACACAAAGGATCATTTTGACAATGAAATATGGATCCCAGGTTATAACCTATTCAGATGCGACAGACTAAACAGGCAACAAGAGATGAGGGGGGGGGGGAGAAGGGGTGCTTGTATGTCAGATACTAAAACACCTCAAATGACACAGCTGAAGTTTTGGCGGTAAAGACTGGAAACTAAAACCTTGTCATTGTGGTTGTATATAAGCCTCCAGATGCAACTTCCCAGCAATTTCAGGAACAGCTTTTGAAAATTGACCACTGTCTGGAAAATCTCCCAACTCCTGCCCCAAATATCTTGCTACTGGGAGATTTCAACTTGAGACACCTAAAATGGAGGAGTGTAGCAAATAATATTTTAGCAGAGATCACCCCAGGAGGCAGCTCAGATGAAAATCCACACACACACCCAAGCTATTAAATCTCAGCACCAAATTCACCTTAAACCAGTCAATATTAGAGCCTACAAGACTAGAAAATAGGCTGGACCTCATCTTCACTAGCAACGACGATCTGATACGTAATACAGTGGGCCCCCAGTTATCGTAATTAATCCGTTCCAGAGAGTGTGACTAAAGCCAAATCTCATGAGTTCCGAATTCATTTTCCCCATAAGAAATAATGTAAATCCAATTAATCCATTCCAGACGCCCAAAAGTATTGAAAAAAAAAATTTTTTACATGAAATATACATTTACGTACACAGAAAACAACGAGACGAAGAATAAAACAACAACATGACACTTACCTTTATTGAAGACTCTTCTTAGTGTATTGAAGATGGGAGGAGGGGAGAGGATGGAGAAATTGCTGTTTGGAAGGGGAATCCCCTTCCATAAAGACTTCAGGTGCTAAACCCTTTTCTGGGGTTACTTCCCTTCTTTGCTTTTTAATGTCACTAGGACCAGCTTGAGAGTCAATGGACCCTGTCGCTCAAAAAAGTGTTCCAGAGAGGTCTGTTTCTGGCGTATGTTAGGAACTGTGGTGGCGGCAGGGAAGTGTGTTTGGAGTAGGGACAAGATAGTCCTTCAATATGACACTATTAACTATCTAGCACAATTCATCTAATATGACATAATAACTCTAGAATTAATAAAATATGTCATTACATATGTGACAAGTGTTGTGTTTTGTTGTTGGGTGTATAAGGGCCACTGAAAGATAAGCCTTACATAGTGGTGGTGATGGCAGCAGCAGAGATTGTAGTGTTGTCAGTGGCCCTATTTAACTCCAACAACACTGGAGGAGCAGTTTCATGCTGTTCTTTTTCTATCAATTAATCACTTAACTTACTTGCTACACTTTATCGCTGGCTGGCGCTATAGCCTTTACCGACTCCTGTTGCTTTAGTATCGTACATATCACAGAATCACTGAAGGCAGCACATTCTTCCCACTCTCTCAGCCCTTTACCCAAAAGGCTGGTTCTCCCATCATGGCTTATTTAGCAGTTGCAAACACTAAATAGAATGGAATATGAAATGTATCGTATGAACGTGTGGGGTGATGGTCACTCGCTGATAAACAACGGTAGACTGACTGTGAATGGTGTGGAATGGTATGTGGGGCTGCTCGGGCCGCTTGTACCTGTTCAAGACAAACAACTATTACCGAGCTAAATGACAAGCACCGAGCCAATATTCTGACGAAAAAATGTTACGATTACCGAATACAATACTACGAAATCCTATGACTACAATATCCAGGGGTCCACTGTATAACACTATCAAAGACAAAACACTCAGATCACAACACAATAGAGGTACATACATATATGCACAGGGCTCCTGACCAGCAAAATGTGATCAGTCATAAGGGAGTCTTCACAAAATTCAACTTTAACAACAAAAACAAACAATGGAAACAAGTCAACCATGTCCTAAATGAAACAAGCTGGGAAGATATCCTAAACATGGATCCAAACCTTTGCCTAGAAAAAATAAACTCTGTGGTTCTTGAAATCTGCTCAAGGCACATTCCATCAAGAAAGAAATGTAAACTAGGAGAGAG